ACAGCTACAGTTTAAGCAAAACACTTGAAAGCTTTTAAAACCTTTTTGTTACAAGAGGAAAGCGGAGACTTATCAGACAAAAAGATGGCAAGCACAGTCATAGAATCAGAGAAAGGTTTGGGTTGGAAGGGATCTAAGAGCTCATCTCGTTCCAACCCCCTGCCATGGGCAGGGACACCTTCCACTAGACCAGGTTGCTCCAGCCCCATCCAACCCGGCCTCGAACGCTCCCAGCGATGGGACATCCACAGCTTCTCTGGGAAATCTGGGCCAGTGTCTCACCACCCTCATAGTGAAGAATGCCTTCCTAAAAACTAATCTAAAATATCCTCTTTCAGTTTAACACCGTTACCCCTTGTCCTAACACTACACACCCTTGTAAAAAGAAGAAACTGGAGGAAAGCCAGGGATTTTTTTCATTTTTCCTTGAAAAATTGTTCAAAATCCCATAAAAAAAAAGAAAGGGAAGCAATAAATATGATGAGACTGAGAAATTTCATGTGAGCTGTAGATTATATCTTGAAAAACAGTGTGTTGCCTCACCTTCTGCAGCCCTTCCACTGGTGAAAGCTCTTACAGCTCCAGTGATATTAAAAGATTGCAATATCCATTTGGTAACAGTGGCCCATGGGGAACCCACTTTCACGAGGCTATTACTACAACTCCCAGACATTGTTCTGCAAAATACACTCTGTTCCTGTAAGTAAATCCTACAGCTTTCTTTCCCAGCTGTACCAGTACAGACAGATGCTGTTATGGGCTCACTGCTCCCCTAAATCCACGGCGTGCTTACATTGCTGAGCACGTTACCAAATACCATTATATAACAATCCATCGAGTTTGGCAACCAAAGACTTCTGGAAATTCTATCTGCAAAAATTTCATGTTTTCTTCCAAGTCAGAGCTAAAAATATCGAACATTAGGCTGAGAAAAACTTAATGTGCTACTGCAATTAACAAGCCCATTTTCTGATACCACCAAAAATAACTAATATTTACAGTATAATTATTAATATTTTATTATGACACTTTTTTCTGCAGTGGTAACAGATTAAATGGTTTGGGGCTAAAAATGAGGAGCCTACTGACCTGACAGGGAAGCCATACAAATATGAGATTAGTTTTGCATGAAGAAATATTTATTTAGCAAAAAGAGACTTAGCATGAAGCTCTGCTAGCTGGTAAAAGTCTATTTATGTCATTTAGTTTTTTGTGTTCCATCTCTGTATCTGCTCTTTTTCTTTCCCTAGAACCAAGTCAAGTGGTTACTTTAACACTCAGGTGCATTTTTATATTCTTGGCATTTCCCTACAGCACTATTTAAAACAACAAGCCCTCCTCTAAAGGACTTTTGGGACAACTTTTATTTAAAACTACTGGTATAAGTTATCCACTTTGATGAGTAGGGATTGAAACATATTTAACGTTCTTCTGTGTTAAAACACATTTGTTTATAATAAAAGAAACTCATAAAAGAAGAAAACATGGAGAATTAGTCTTAAATGCAAAGCAAATGTCTATAACCATGAGGAGGCCACGTGGCCTCTGCTATCTTTAATGTCTACCTTTGGAAGATATTACAATGTGAAAAGATGGGGCTGTTCATGTCTAAAGTATAAATATATATATATGTAATCAATTTAAAGACATTTTTTCTAAGAAAAATCTGGAGTGTTTGTTACATTTAACAACTTTTACCTATAAATAGGTAATCTTTGCCCTGCAGCAGAACAGAAGTGACCCTGCTAAATCTGGTTTGGCAGCAAACCCGCTCTCCTGAGTCCTCTGTGAGACGATCTGGTCTCTCTGTCTCGTGAACGGGTGTCTACATTCTGTCCACACAACAGACCCAACGTGTTACCTGGCACCAGCACTGGCAAGAACAGCCAGCAACCAACAGAGCTTGGCAACTGAACTGCTCTGTCCCAGAAAAGCTTCGACATTCAGAAACAAAGCACAGAGTTTGGGGAACACAGGGAAACCTCAATGCCCTAATTAGTGCTGTAATTTGGTCTATTTGTCAAGTAGAAGCAGGATTTTAACCTTCTGGCATGTCTGTTTAGAGCCCTTTGTAGAGGCAGCTTAAAACAAACACAGAGAAGTTGGTAAGTACCCAATCCCGCAGTCTTTTCCAAGAGGAACAGCACGGGATTGAATTTGGGGGACAAGAAAGCTGCTGCATGACTAGAATCAAATTCAGAAAACAAACAGAAGTACTATCCTGGCCTCCAGCACTGTTTATACATTATGACCTTCCACAGGCTGCCAGCAGCACTACTGAACGTGAGGACTGCGGGTCACTGGTACCACCACCACCTCACTGTGAGCCCACAAGAAAAGCCTCGGTCAAATCACACAAGATGTGGTTTTAAAGCAAGTGAGGAGGGGGAGGAGGAGAAATTTCCTGGATTAAGTGAACCACAGAGATATTTTAATCAGAACACAAAAGAAAGTTGAGCCAAACACCAACTGACTCGGATCATATCACATCAATAATCCATGCACAGAGCCTCTGCTGGAATCAATGGGAGGCTTGTGCGTAAGTGGATTGTATAATATAAATACATGGCCCTGTTTAGGGCTCCACATACAAAAGAGAAAGAGGAGTTGTGAACAATTCCCTTAATTAACATTTCTGTTCCATCAAGTGCTTCTAAAATAATAAATTCTAACGTTACACAGCTCTGTTTTCATTCACAGCTTTTATCAGAGGTGGTAAAACAACTGACCCCATTTGACAAATAAGGGAACTGAACCATTGGATGCAAATTAAACTGAAGAGCAGGGCAACAGGCAGAGCTGAACTGGGAATAGCAGCTTACCTCCTGAATCACAGTTTAATGTCCTAGATATTTACATGCTTATCTAGTTCGAGTCTCTAATTAGGGTGACTCTGTGCAGTCCTCAAATAATTTTACATACTTCCTAAAGTACCTGTACACGGCAATATGCTTATCTCTAAGCGTTTCCCACTCAACAATGTTAATTTTGTGAGGATTTAGAATGTTCTGCTGAGGTTCAAAACACTGGATTGCCCTGGTCAGACTCCCAAGGGAGTCTCATTGCTGAGGTATCACAAGCCTCACTACCCAGCAGTAATAAAGGGTTATAAAACTGGCTGTCAAATCCACACTTCCCGACGCTATTATTAAAGAAAGAAAAAAAAAAGGAAAAAAACAAACAAACAAAACAACTTGCAATTCAAAATATTAATGCATTAGCTGGAAATGACCTAACTGATCCTGATGTTCCAAACTGACAGCAATCCATAAGGAAAAGCGAGACTGGATCTCTATTCAAAAAAAAAGCGCAATACTCACAAGAAGTCAGTGTAAAACATCAAATACACCAACTGCAAAAAAAATGTCCAGTCTTACTAATCTGCAACTGTTTTACAGTGAAGCCAAGTAAGCAGGAACATAAACTACACTGTAATTTGACCCAAAAAAGCAACATGTTTATTAAAGTGGTAGGAAGTTATAAATAATAGTTTCACTTGCATGCTAGGTACAAATCTGACTTCACCTCTAGAAGCAGCCTTTGGCTAAATACAGACTGACTCCTCTCAAGGTCCTGAGTATTTTTCCTCCTCTGAAAATCCAACTCTGAAAAGCTTAACACCTTATGAAAGATTGATTCAGCAATGTGTCCACTTTCTAATTTACATCTTGCACGTGATTAAGTACTGTATCACATAGGGTTAGTGCCAGTAACAAGCATTTTCATTTTCCTTAACTACAGATGCAAGTCCATAATCCTGAGAAAATAACGTATTTTGAGTTAAACAAGCTTTCTGTTCTTTACAATTACAGTGTTCAAGTGCTTTGAACAATAACTTTTCAGGACTGGCTTGTTTCATCTTCTGTTTTCCTTTTTCAGATTTTTTTTCAAGATTTAAATCTACCACTGACAAAACAAGCAGAAATGCCTGCTGAGAAATGGCCACACTTCCAAACGACGGCTTGAAGAATTATTTTTCTGATTCACCATAGCATTATTTTTTCAAGTTGTCAAAACAAACACCACGCCCACTTGATTTCCGAGTTCTGGGTAATTATATTTGGAATTAGCAAGTACCGTGCAACTAATAATCACACGAGGTTTAGCCCTTACTTTAGCTATTTAGAGATCAGCCAATGCATTCAAAGGCAGCCCGTTTAGCATTTTATTTAAGATATACCCTCATCACTCCATGCTGTACCACCACTACACAGACAGCCACAGACACGGTGAATATAGGGCAGGCCATGCAGTCGATCCCTGTGCCCCAGGGCAGGATCAGCTCCTGCTCAGCCACCATTATCGCTGATGATACACAAGAACTGGTTATTTCAGGCAGCAGCTTTACACACGCACTCACAGAACCCATTATAAATTAAAGGAGGGAAGCGTGTGGCACGTCTGCAGCGCCTTAAACTGGGACAGCGCGCAAGCCGGTCTCCAATAAGATAAAAATTACAAATAAAAGCTTCCCCAACATGCGAGTCCGGATTTTCTAAAAGTAGTATCTTGGCAAGGTTAACGCCGCTGCCGCTGGAAACAGTTCACCTCGTTTAAACTGGCTGAACCACCCCGTGATTATCACCGAGCCTCCATTAAGATGACACACACAAACAGAGCCCTCGCAGGGCTTAATTACTCTTTTCGCTGCTCGTACACTGCCAGACACGTACTTTTGGTTTTTTGTATTTCCCCCCTTCCCCTCTCCCAGCGGACGGGCAGCTGCAGGCAAAGGGCGCGGGGCTGTCAGGGCACTGCCGGGGGTGGCGGGGCAGGGCAGGGCAGCGGGTCCCGGACCCGCCGCGCCCCCGCCGGGTGCGGGCCACAGAGCCCCCATTGTGGCCCGGCCGATGCAGCGGCTCCGCTCGGGGGGCGCCGGGCAGGACGGGGCAGCCCCGGCGGGAGGGGCCGCGGCCGCTGTCAGGGGCTCCGGGAGCGGGGCACCTTTCTGTGCCGCCCGGCGAGGGGCCGCGAACCGCCCGCAAGAGCCCCGCACTCACCGCCGCCGCCTCCGCCGCCCTCTTCGTCCATGTTGGGACCGCGGGCAGGGCGCTCCGCCGCCGATCAGCGAGGCCCGGGGCTCGTTCCGCTCGCTCGGCGCCTCGCGGCCACTCCCGCTCCTCTTCCTCCTCCTCTTTTCTCTTCCTCTTTCTCCTTCGCTTTCTTTTTCTCCTCCTTCTCCTCCTCCGCCGCGCTCCGCCGCCGCGCTGCTCTGCCCCGTCCCTCCCCGCCCAACCCTGCCTCAGCCCCGGCAGCCGCCACCGCCTCGGCCCAGCCGCCCGCCCCTCTCATGTGACGGCGGAGGGCGGAGAGGGAGCCGGCCCGGCCCAGCCCCGCCGCCGCCTTCTCCGCGCCACCGCAGGGTCGCGGCCACCGCCGAGCTGTGTTACCCCCCCCGCCAGCGCCCCGGCCCAGCCTCCCGCCCGCCTCCCTGTGCGGTGTTCCCTCCCCAGCGAGCCCCGCAACGCGGCCTGGCAGCGCCCAGGCCCCTGAAGCGGCTTCCCCGGGGGCTCTTGGGGGTCGCCGGGGCGGTCGGGAGCGGGGGGACCCGGGGCTGTGGGGCTGCCGTTGGGGACCCATTGGGGTCGTGTTTTGGGGTCTGCAGGAGCCAGAAAATGCCTGCAGGCACCCGGCTGGCTTTTTGGGGGAGAGCGGGAGGTGAGTGGAAGGTGAGGGCTGAGTTGGCCTGAAGCAGCATAGTGAGGGGAGACAAGGTGGGTTGAAGTCTCTGAAAAAGAGCCTCACACATCTCATGTTTCTCGGCTTTTTTTGCTGATTGTTGCTTGTTCTCTGTTCTTGGGTCCGGTGCTGGAGGGACCTCGGGTGCTTCCCCTGCCACGGGGGCCGTGGAGAGCCTTGCATGTCAGTGGGACTGTGCCCCACATGCGGTGCAGGGGTTTGCCTTGGTGAGCATTGTGGATAACAGAAAGGACTCTCCTTACTGCCCTAGGAGCCAAAGTGTCTGTGGGATATTTAAAGTCTTCAGTAAAGATCTTCAGTGAGTTACCTACCATGGGAGTCAGGATATCAGCAGCCTCCAAAGTCTGTAAAGGTAAGCAAAAGTGTACTGGCACAGACACTCTTCCTTCCTTCCTTCCTTCCTTGGCACCGCCTCTTATTATTTTTTTTTAAACCGTTTGTGTCAAAATTTTATTCAGAAAGGAAGCTGTGGGAGGAAAGGGTCAGCCAACAGGAAAATATCGGGTTTTTCATTTTCCTTTTGGAGGCTGGCATGGGACAGAGCACCGTCGAGGAAGCCGAGTCAGGAACACTCACCTCTTGACACCACTGCTGATAGGTGGTTATTACAGCCCATTGTGCTGAGAGCGGAGGTCTGGCTCTGACAGCTGCTCCAGTGATAAACTGTTTTACCTCGCCTAAAAATCATAAGCATCACAAACCTTTAAAATACTCCTCTGACTTTCCTATTTTAAATTAAATATTGTTATAAGTTTAGTAAGTTATAAAAAGGATATGATTACATAAAACCAGCATCACCTTGGTAAGAGATTCATTATTAAATGTGTGTCTATAAAGTGCAACTACAGGATGATGTAAAATAAGTGTGAATGCAGATGAACTGACTGGCTTTGAATATTTTTGTACACTGAGCAAATTGTTAATTTACATTAGTGGGGAATCTGATTCATTTTAAAAATTCTAATTTTATAATTGATCACAGATTGCTTACATTTAATTTGTGTTGGTTTACACCTTTATATAGAATATATTCCTTTATTTTCTTGTTTCTGTTTGTCAGTGTCATTTTTTCTTTCCTTCCCTCCTTCCTTCCCTCCTTCCTTCCTTCCCTCCTCCTTCCCTTCCTCCCTCCCTCCTTTCCTCCTTATACTTTTGCTACAAGGAAAATTCTAGTGCAAAATAAAAAATAGCTTCATCACTAATTCTAGTAGCAGAGGAGAGGGAAGTGTGGAGAACAGTCATCCTCCCACCCATTCAGTGCAAAATTCCTGTTGACTTCGTGGAAGTAATACTAGTTTTAAAGTTCTCCAAATTCATAGCAAAGATTAAAATTATTTTGTGATGGAAGCAAGATAGGAAAAATGCCTGTCCTGGTTACGAGTGATCAGTTGTGATGTTTTATAGAAACTTCCTGGTGAAATCCAATTCCAGCTCATGTCTGCCAATTCCAAACCCATGAGATAAGGAAAATGTTCTTTATTATAACTTCATTATTAACTTGAACAAACAGTTAAATTTTCAGTATTTTGCCTTACTGAACATGTACTTACTCTGTTGTAACTCTGAAATATATGTCATTCAATACCCTCTCAAGGAGAATCTGTTCTTTCCAGCCCCCTTTTAGTGGGATGATGTATTAATGATACATAGTACAAAAGAGTGTTGAAATTATAATGTTCTCTTCAAGGCTGTATGTCTCTGAAATGATGGCAGATATTCCTTAAAACACTTTCATTCGTACTGTGTATCTTATAAATAGACTTACTTTTGCATGGGCCTGATCCTCCATGTGTTCTAAGCATAAAACTCTTAGTTCTGTGTACAAGGTGCTTCCTGGACAAAGCTCTTCAATCTTCAGGTGAGATGTCATAGAAACTTTTAAGATCAAACCTCTTACCTTGTTGTCTCATTTTCCTGTGTTTAAAGTAAAACTCATGTCTGGCTATAAACCTAACTAGGTCGGGAATAGATTTTTTGAAACTGTGCAAAATCAAGTAATTACAGCCCTAGTTCTGTGTCATAGCTGTAGCAGTTCTACCATAGCAGGGCTCCTCCTCCCCAGTGCTTGGTAATTCAACAGTTATGACACCACTGTCCTTAAATAAGAGGTACTTTCTTACCAGCAAAGATGCCAGGAAGCAATACAGGTTACAATCTCAGCAAATTTTAAGATAAACTCCAATAAACTATTTCCTTCTCACGTGAGTAATTCTCTCGCATCTGCTTTGTTTTCTGGAACTTTGATCATTCTTCTGTTTTGGAATACATATTAATTTTAATTTTTTCCCTATAATTAATAAGAGTTTCAATCAACAGTTTTCTAAACATTGCTTGATCTTTTTTTTTCTTTCTTGCAGTCCCTTCTGTAGTCACAGCTCTATTTTTACCACCAGTATGTTTTGCCAGTTTTATATCCACAAGTCTAACCTTCTGTGTTGGAAGAACTTCATAGTCTGTCATTCATGTAAATAATAGTCTAATAGCTGGTCTGTTGAAATTATTTTTAGGGGGAATTGGGCTTTCTCCAAAAACTGCTGTTGGCAGGGTTGACTCCTTAATGATAAATGTGGTTATTTGCTGAATTTGCAGGTGATACACTTTGTCTTTTTATATTTTTTTGTCCCTCTCTGGATAGTTTAGTAACTGTTTTGATTTAGTTTCCACTAAGTGGTAATTTATCTTGTCATTTTTCATTTTAAGGGTTCAGGAGCACATCTGTTGTGACATTTGTCCCTACAGAGAGAGTCAGTGAAGACAACTGAATCCCTTACATCACATTTTTGTGGTCTATAAGGCTCATTAAATATTAAGCCATTTGTATGGATTTCAATTTGAACCAGACTCCAAGAGTAGTGAATGAAAATATAAATCTTTATCCACTCTTTTTTTTTTCCCTCCATAATCAATTCAAGAGTAGGAAAGCTCTGTTGCTTATTATGTTCTCTCCTCAGCAACAGCGGATTCCCTTTTTTCTCCATTGGTTTTTATTGGTTAATGTAAATTCTGAAAAAAACATCTTCACTCTTCAGTTTACTTGTAGAAAGAAATAAGCTTCATGTTACTGTGGCAAATTTCCTCCTTCAGTAATGTAAATGTTTCAGTGATACAAAATTCCATCTTATTGTGATAGATTTCACAAGCTTTTTATTTCTAATCAAAATCATGAGCTATGAGGATGCCCACACCTGGATAGTAGCATTGTATTCAAATACAAGAAATACAATTCTGAATTTTCTTAATGCAGAAAGAAATAAAGTAACTGCTGTCGTGTCATCAGACTGGACATCAGTATCAGACACAGGGAGGTGGAATCATGTCCTTACTGTTGGAAGGAAGAATCTTGGAAATTGTTTTTAGGGAGGTGGTCATCCTGCATGCAGGTATTCCCATTCCATGTGTTCAGGCAAGACAGCACTAATTTGCAAGTCTGGCTTATTGTGACTTCTCTTAGACTTGGTGAGAAGGATTTTGTAGCTGCCCTTAAGAAGAACAGTTAATAAAAATAGGAACATCTGTGCAGTCTTAGTAATACATTCTTGAAGAATATAGGTCTATCTTAAAGGATATAGATATATCTCAAAAAATATAGATACATCTTAAAGAATACAGCTGTTGTGCAATGTTTTGTAATCTAGAATTATTTGGTTTGTTTTACAACTTGCTCACTGAGATGCTCTCACATTTTTAGAAAAATGGTGCAAGCATTACATTCCTGAGATAATACCTTGTTGATAGAATCACTGTCATCAAGACCCAGCCATTGTATTAAAGAATACTTTTGTTTCAAATCTAGACAACCAAAGAGTTTTTATTTTTTAAGAAGCATTGCCTAATAGTTTCCATGCAGGAAAGTCTCAGCCCATCATCATGTCTTTTTTTCCCCTTTTTTTTTTTTTTATTCATCAGTACTTGAATAATCTGGTATTCTTAAACCCCTAAGGCAAACTCTTTGACTTCCTCTGTCTGGCAGACGGGTTTTAGCCACGGATTGTTTCTTAAAATGTTTATGCTGTCACACATCTCATATTTGTCTCAGCTGGAAAAACATTTTTATAGAAAATCCTGTTTGCTGGTTGTCTCAAGGGTTTCAAAAGTGCTTGTACCTTTCATTTAGTCCAAAAAAAATTTACATGCAGGTATTTTATATGGCTTTGGGGAACATCAAAGCTGAAGCTTAGCAAGTCAAGCCTCTTTCGTGAATGGTGCTTTCTTGTATGGATAGGAAGCTTGTTCCATTAGAATAGTCCAGAACCCTAAACATAAAGACACCTCACTTCCAAGAATTTTGCATGGGTTTCTCTCCAGATGAACTTTTTAATCATATTCTGAATTTTATTTGCAGCTTATTCTAAATTCCTGTTCTTGACACATTTGAGGGTTTGTGAGTTTTTGGTGGGTTTTTTTAAGATTTCTAAATGAGCTTTATCTACTCCCAGCATCAAATATTACTGGGTTTGGAAGTCATTGTTTGTTTCTGTTGTGTAACACTGATAGGGCCACTAGTGAGTCATTGAGGAAAAACCACCAAAATGTCCCAATGAGGAAAATGTATTAAAAATTGTGAAGGTCCATCAACTCTGTAATGCTTATGATCTGAAATATACTTTGCATTAGAACTTGTTCTGCCTGTATTAATTATGCACAGTACTAGACACAAACAGGATGCTTTCTAGCATGAAAGCTGGGCCTAAAATAACAGAAAAAGAGGACTAGGATTCAAGGAGCGTGGGCTGAAACAGATCATGAGTGGAATTTTGCATGAAGCTTGAGAGTGTTTTTCTATCTCAGGAAAATTAAAGAACTTGATGTAAAGCAACCCTCAAAGGAGAGTTTGCTGATTAAGGCCAGACTGTTCCCACCCTGAGAAGTAGCCACAGTCTGAATTCCCCTCTGCTGGCTCACTCCATCTTGGACTCTCTCATCTCACCAAGGCCTGGGAATTTGAAATTCCTAACTCATCCTACAGTGGGAGCTGCAGCTGGGCTGCAAACCATACAGGAGCTGCATGCACGTGGCAGCAGCTGATGGATGGGGGGGCCCCCGCAGTCCCTTCCTCCTCCCTGCCCGAAGAAGCCCTAAATAACTCCCGGTGTTGCAGAGCTGCAGTGTTGGAAGGGTTACACCAGGTGCTCCCGTGGAGTCACCAGTGAGTGTCTGCAATGCAATTGCATATCTCCACATGAGCTGGCTCAGATCTTCCTGCTGGCTAGTCAGCAGAGCACAAAGCTGGGCTTAATAAATATGGATCCATCAATTTAGACAGGAGCAGGAACTGGCAACTAATGATTTGGACTTTCAGTGGCCTCTGAGCTGTTTGTGCAGCTGTTTGTGAAGCCACGTTGTAAATCAGATCACTCAATCCAGATTTTTAAAGTTCTGTCTAATCTAATAATTTTTAACCAGAATTACTCCATTGATTAAATTCACACTCTGGTCCCACAAACAGTTGCATTGGCACAATTGCAGCACTGGTAGACTGTGACACACAGATGGTATGGAAAGAAGGAAGGGAGGCTGCTGGAGAGTTATTTTGTCCATGGGGACAATATTCCTGCATAGTTCTGACGCTGTTCTGAACCACAGACTCTGCATCAGTTTCCCTTTCTGATCCCTTCTCCAACTGTGCCTGCAGTCAGACTGAAATGCCTGTTAATGTCTCATCTGTGCAATACCAGATCATCTAATGGTAATAAATTGATCACGATCAAATCCGAGCATGTCATTGCATTCCTGTCAGGATTAGCCAGCTATGAGTCACAGTGTTTAGGCCAGGCTTTATCCTGGCTTTATACTGGCAGCAGGAAGACCAACTCTGACTTAAAACCATCATGAGTAAAAACACTCTGTACTCCCTGTTTCATGAGGGTTTTGTTTTTTAAATCATTTTTTACTGGTGGGTTGAACTTGTACACAGGATTTCATGCCATGTCACCATCCAAAAACTAAATTTATTGCATCATGAAATTGCAGTTGAGAGTATTCAGCTTCCCTCATAGGTTAGTTTTGAATACACCCTTTGAGTCCAGGGGAAAGGGGAGGTCATTCTTT